TTTGTTTTGTTTTTGTTTTTTAATCTAAATTTCTGAAAACCCTCCTTTTTTTTGTTTCAATAATTATAAACACTGTTGTGACTATGCAAATGTCAGGTTGGATGGAGCTTTGAGCAATCTGGTCCAGGTAAAGTCCTTACCCATGTCAGGGCGGGTAGACTAGATGATCTAGTCAACCCAATCCATCCTGTGATGCTATGAAAATGCTGAAAAACATTCAGCATTATTTTGAAATATTAAACAAACATCACTTGAGTGTCAGCTTTTGTTTATAAAAAAGAAGAGAACGCATCAGTCCCTAAGCGAGTGCAATCAGTCCACACACACTTTACTTGAAATGATTCCCAAGAATTACTTGAGACTTGCAGCTGTAAGAAACATTCTGCAAGGGAGAGGATTATTACTTTGCAGTCTAAAAATGGAAGCACCATAGAAGTAAAGAGTACTGAAACTTATGCTTGCAATTAAATAAAATAAAACCACCACACCACTTTAGATTAAGCAGGTCTGCTTCCACCCTACTTTTGTGAGCCTTCATTAAAGGAATACTTTATTCTTAACTCACCTATACTTTGGCAGCCTATTCAACTGAAACTTCTTCAATAGATTTACTATCAAATAAAACACAAACTACCTCTCTAAAATGGAAATTTTTCAGTGGATAAACCTCTACAATTCTACTAAACCTCCAGTTAGGTGGAGATCTAAACAGATCTACACTCCTCAGTCTTAAGGTCAGTTTTTACAGAGACAGTCCTGTGTTTTGGAGAAACGCATTTTAAAAATGTCGAATTTTACAAGGTCCACAGTTCAGGCATCAAAATGACTTATATACAGCACTTCATGTTCCTAACTTTTGAATACAATTAGCACCAACAATAGCCCCAACTGTTAAAATTATGTGGACCCAGAGCATTGTGGTCTTGTGTATGAAAGGAATGGAGAAATTATCCTTGGAATAGTAGTTGTGCTACTGTAAGATGCGATTGGTAAAGTTCACCTTAAGTCTAGGTAATTTAGCATTTATTCTTTATATTCTGCTACATCTAACTTTTTCCATCTTTCCCACCTTCAGTTGCCATCTCTTTTGCATTTGTTGTCTTTTTTTTTTATTAAACAGGTTGGGTGACAGAGAAGTGCCAAGGAAATTGCAACAATATGTTACAGAAATTCTAATCAAGAGGCATACCAGTGACCTGGTATCTAAAAACAATCTCAAGTGAGAAATAATTAGCATTATTTTCAATTTAAAACGGTATTGACAGGGAAAATTACAAAACCCGTGAATTGTACAACTGCTAAAACCCTCACACACAAGTGCACATAGAGAAAAGGGTCATTTCCCATAACTCTGTGAAAGATATACTGGTTGGTTGGGTTTTGTTGTATGGCCAGCAAAATTTGGCAGCAGCAAAGAGATTGCTCAGACTTCCAGGAAAGATGAGTAGGAGATTATTTTGTAATGTTTCCCTGATTATTTTGCTGCTGTTTACATAAGAAAAGGTATTCTCAAGAGTACTCGGTCCAACCCACAAAAAGGAAGTAAGGGATTTGGATATAATTAGATGACAGAGAAAAAGGTAGGTCTTCTGGCCTGAATCTATAATGCCAATGCAATAGTATTTGGACTGCAAGAAAAAAATATGATGTCTATGTTTATCAATGTGCACACACAAGATTAATGAACATTTCCTTGTTAAATGGCTTAGATCTACAACTTCAGTTCAAAAGACCTAGCTTAAAAGTAATATTGTTTGCAGTCATGTCAAAAGTGAGGTCCTCACATGAATGAGAGAAAGGTTTACTTCAGATTTTTCTTTACTGTTGTGGTGGTTCAGCTATTGTGCTTGTGTGTTTCTGATAAAGAATTTCTCCTTTCTAATCACATAATATACTTAAATACTCAGAATATTTGAAATTACGTGTGGACTTCAATGAGGTAGTAGATAAAAGTTTCATTGAATATCCTTTGCAAAGAAAAACAGAATCAAGAAGAATTTTTTTTAAAATATTCTTTGCCTGAAATGAGAGAGAAGTTTTAGTTGTATAACTTCACTAGTATACAAGTTTTTGCATTTTGCCCAGGCTGATCAGCAGCAAGCATACTGGCTTAGAAATCAGATTGCAATAACTAAATTTGTACCTGAATATATTTGAACTTGAGCTCTCTTAGCCAAGGATTCACTTTTTTTTTTTTTTTTTTTTTTTTTTTTTTTTTTTTTTTTTTTTTTTTTTTTTTTTTTAATCTTTTTCTTTGCTACTTTTTTTGGGTTTGTTTTTTTAAAAATCTCCACGGTGGGTTTAGCACAGTGAATATAAAACAACAGTAAACTTACAGCTGTACAAGGGAAAAACTGCTAAGCCACACCTCTTCCACTGTCCATACACAACACAGATACTGTATTACATCAATAACAAAAATCAAGCTGATATTTTTAACTAACTGTTGTGATGTATGTGGTACAGGATCCACTCCGAAATTCTCAGATATAATTTTACAGACTCAGCACCTGCAGCTACTTCAATGGGAACAGTTTGACAGTGAGGTATCGACAGGTAATTTCCACAAAGAAGAGCCAAGAACACAGTGAAGTAAATAAAGTTACAGAGAGTGAGAACCTTAGTATTAAGAATGATAAAGATACAAGCATGTATATGTATATAAGCCAAAGATATAAGCATTTTGAAAGCTAGTACCATTGCTGACTTTTACAAAGGCAGGAAAAACAACTAGGAATCAATAGACAAAAATGCAAATAGTATGAAATCATATTTATATTTCCTTTAATTGAAATACTTTCAAGTTGTTCAATGCATAAAGAGGCATTCAAAGGAAAGGGGGTTGAAATAACTGGTTCAGCACTTATGGTGGCCAAGAGTCTCTCATTTGCACATCACATAGCTTGAATGATTTAAGATGCATATCAGCATACACACCTGTCTGCATGCTCCTCATCCACATTTATTTTAATACACCTGCACACTGTGATGACAGATAGACAAAAGGTTGGGTGGTTATGAAAGTCACCCAGCAACTTTCCAGTCATGGAAAGAGGAAAAAAAAAATGCTTATGAAAGAAAGTATAAAGTGTGAATGAAAGACTGTACTAAATACATTTTCCAGAGACTTTTAAGTGGACCTTATAATGTCCTTCATGGGATAAAACCCAAAAACAAACAAACAAAAAACAAAAAGCCAGAAGACCCTTTTCAATGCAGAAGAAAAAGTGGTTGCACAAGTCATAACTAAAGGAATAAAAAGGTAAGACAGGTGAAACAGTGAACCATATAGCGAGGACACTCAATAAGCCTAGTAACAACAAAAGAGAGTAACAATTCCTGCAAAGATAAGAACCTTGTTCCACAGAAAGAAAAAACTCCAAGGCGAAAAGTAAACAGCTGTGCCTAAAGTAAAATATTAACTTTGTGGTTTATAAATTTGCTGTGTGAATGACTGATTAAAAACCTCATTCAAAGCCTGCCCCTCCATTAGCATTAAGCTGAACACATGACTGCATATTCACTGCTGAGCAAGAGCTAGTCTGCAGGAGTTACCTAGCACCTTGATTTCATTGCACTTGCTGTATTTACTGACAAACTGAAGCATTAACATAAGCTTTTGCTTTAATTTGTTTCATTTCAAGTCTAGTTTGGTTGTCCCTGCAGCATTTCCATTACAATCTAGGAGAACAAGGGACATGAGTAAGAAGTGACTCTGACCAATACACAGAAAGTAGCTTGGGAAGGGCTACAGCCTTTAGCCACAGAAGCAGGCTAGGTTTCATTCACTACTCAAGCAAGTGTCCCATGAGACCTAGATACATCCTATTAGAGAAACTAAAGCAGTTCTCAAGTACACGTTGCCTTGCTGTTGAAAAGCCAACAATTAAAATCAGAAATGCATCTAAGACATTCACCAATACCTGCAAAGACACTTCCAAAGGCATTCATAATCCATGGATTTTCATTTTAATGAGTTTTATGCCGTGTCCTAAGATTCTATTTCCAAGGCAGTTTAGTAATAAGCAAAAATATTCTGTTCTGTGAAAATGTCTTAAGACACTTTGAATGTCCTAAGTGGCCTTTGAGAAAAGACACTCATAAGCGCAAGCGCAACAACAAGCAAAATGCACATAAATCAAGTATCAAAATATTGTCTCTGTTCCTTCATTCACAGAACCTGTAACACCACTGTATGGTACAGCACAGAGAACTAACTGTCAGCATCCTGAAGGAGAACATTAGGGTAAAAGAAGTGGAGTCCAAAATGAAAATGCCTAATGGTCAACTTGCCCAAGAATAATAAAATACAGAGAATGTAATGCACAGTAATGCAGCTGTCCTACTATTTCAGGCAAAGAAAACAGACTTCTAATAGGCTGAGTATGAATAAAATAGAAGAAAATAGAGTGAGGAACAGCTGCTCTTACTAAGCTCCACTGCATGGTGGATTTAATGAGCGCTGAAGATGCTTGTGGATTTCTGAACTCAACAACTCATCTACTGTAGGTACCAGTTTTCCCCCTCACATCAGAAAGGCAAAATATAAACCCTATATCCACTTTCCCAGATAGGCTGATTCTTGCATAACACTATTACAAGACAGTTTCTGCCCTTGGATAAGAAGGAAGAGCTCGGAAGTCAAAAACATAAACCATCAGAGAAGAAGGGTAGCTTAAACACTGTCATCTCAAATGGAGCATGAACAGCCAACTCCATAAACAAAATATTCTTACCTCCCCATAGAAAACAGTCACTACCACAGACCCACATTTATTTTAGTTTGTGTGGCAGAACAAATCATAATGAACAATAAATCATAATGAATAATAAATCATAATGAATAGCTAATTATGAGTACAAGAAGATTCAGGGAGTTTTTCCAAGCAAAGCAGTACATTACTTCATTGCTGTGTGCCTCTTGATCTGATGCAGGGATGGATTTAGAGGGAGAGAGAACAGAGTCCATCTTCAGCCCAGAGAGGTAAATCTCCTTTATGCTGAAGGATACAGAGTGGCTCTGCAAAGCTACTTTCTATGTCTTGGAGGGAGGGCAGGGCTGGAACTCCAGCAAGTTTGCTGCTGCACACCTGCCAGAGCTTTACAGGAAGGAAGACAGGAGAACAAACTCAGAAGCTCATCAGACACCTTCCACACAGCCTGATCAGTGAGCAAAGACACTATCTCCCCTTGCCTGCTATCAGCCAGCCACAGTCTCAGCACAGAAAAGGGCCAAGCTCAGCAATCAACACTTGCATGGCACAAACACAGACCCCATCACCTGGCACAGGTTATCTGGGGACAAAGACTCCTCCTGCTGTGAGAACTGTGCTGCTCTCAGAGATGACTTTACACCTAAAAGCAGGTTCCTTTGCAGAAGGCGGTTGGCAATACCAAGCCAAAAATCTTGCCCAGAATCTGATGCTGCACGTCTGACCCCAACACTGAGGCTGCAGGGGATCATGGTGCCATGGTACTCACTCCACCACTTTGGCCAAGACTAAGGTGTCAGCTTGGGCTTCAGTATCAAACATGATAGCAGAGCCAGTAGCAGCTGAGGCTGTGAGCTGAGGACTGCAAGACCACAGCAACCACCAGCACATCGATGGTGCAATCTCCACTTGACTGGAAAATTAACTGTAATTTGAAAATTCATACTATACTTCCAAAAAAAATTTTAATAAATCCTTAAAAGACAAGTCTCGATAGTCTGCATTTTGGATTGCTCATTAAATATTAATTTCTCATGTAAGAGATCTCAGAAACTGAAAGCACAAGAGGCTGAACCGTACATCTATGCAATGTCAATAGGAGGGAACACCGTAATCTTACCTGACAGATAAGCAAACTGTTTCTTTAATTGGTCTTGAATATCTGCAGCATAGAGGGGAATGATATCCTGATGCATGATTTCATCTGTGGAGAGAAAAAAAAATTTGCATTGCAAAGTCATTTTATGTAAAATTTCACAATTTCACAGCGGACATTAAAAAAAAAAAATCACCGCTAGAACACAAACACCCAGAAAACTGTCCAAGTTTTGAAAAATACGTGAAAACCTTTGGATTCTTTCAAGTGTTTGCCAAGGGCAGACTTTTCTTTGAACAGTATACTGATAAGAGAGCAATGCAGATTTACTGACATTCAGAAGCAATACAGGACTGTCAGTGAATCAAACACTGTAGAGCTATTATTCCTCAGGAATGACATTAAACAGTGGGAGTTTTACACATAAAATTCAATTTTTATTAAAATCTTCTCATCTGATGCAAAACCAAGAAACTTATGATCCCTCTAGCCTGTTGTCTAGTGTTCAAATACCCCAAGAAAACAGTTCTAAATAAGGTAGGTAGAATGGGCTTGAAAGTACATCCTCACATTGAAAACACACACACGTTCTGCCTCAACATTGAAAAGCAATGCTTAAGCTTTTATCTCAGCCCTTCCACTTCAGCTTAATGACAACCACACTGCTTTCCTGACCCTTGGTTTTCCGCCACAGTGTTTGAGCAGCAGCATTTCCCACAGCATATTTCCAGAGGTCAAGTAGAAACCTGAGTTTTGCTGATCACAATAAAGAATGCATGACAAGAGTTGCCTCATTCATTAAACTATAACGGCCTGCAAAAGGAAACACTAAGTTTTACTCTTTTGCAATTCCTAAAAAATAATTATTCCACATTTTTAGCCTCACTGAAAAGTAGTAGAGAGATAACATAGCTTTTTCATTATTTGGTTTTCAACATTTCTTTTAATCTGACATTGTATTGGCATTGAAGTTTTGGTTTTTAATGTACACTGAAATGCCATTAAAATAGTCTCCAATCTGACACTCAAAGCTGTGAATATGCACAGGAAAAGTATGTAAAACCTAAAACTGATGTAAGGAATAAGTGTCATCTGCACTGAAGTAAAAGCTGAAGTAGAGCTCTGACCCTCAAGGAAGGGACTTGTTTTCGCTGAGATCTTTCAAATGGTAGATTGTGAGCAGACACTCACTTCTATAAGTGATTCTCATATATATAAAACTCTGAGAACTGCAATTATTTGAGAACAGCAAAAAAGCCACTTTCAGTTACTTCTTCCAGATAAGCAACAACTTATACTGTGAAACAGAACTTCTCTGTTTTCTGTCATCCAGCCAGGCAGAGGAAGACACATGACCACTTTCAAGGTCACACACTGATCAGGGCTATTTTTCTGCATCCGGTGAACTGCTGCCTGATCAGAAGACCTCTGCATACCATGCTGTCAAATCCATAAGTGGATACGTTTAACTGGAAAGACATATTTCACCCAGACCTTCACTTATGTCATCATCTTAACGTTTTGAAGAGAACACTGTACACAGATCTTTCAAAAGTCCAATCTCAGATGGCCAAGTAATTCCCAGAACAGGAACAACCCAATCCCACAAAGAAAAAAGAATTCCAATTTTATTTTTGTTGTTCATGCTTTATAATATAAGGAACCCTCCTGTAGCAGTGTTCAAGAAACTGATTCTGTAAACCAATGCCTGCAGGTGGACCCATTTACCTGAAGATAAACTAGTACAAGATCAATGCCTACATTTTGGTGGGAGTTGGGGAAAGGGAAAATAATGTAATCACTCTGCAATATGTCATCCTGCCTCAAGTCATAGGCAGAAATAATTTTTACTATTGCAGTATTGCACCCGAGCATGTAATAAAGTAGGTGTGTTTTACATAAGTAAATACATCTATGACACACAACATTCAAGCAGGCAAAACATTCTAAAGGAAGACAAACTCTTTATGTTTCCAAGATACATAATGATGACTATTTCCTCATGTATCCATGTGATCAATCCCACTGCAATCCAGACTTGTGCCGTGTGGAAGATGGAGTCTAGATTTGAGTGCCCCAATATTCCTTCTGATAGGAAAAGCAACTGGAGGAGCACTACAATGTGACTGTTTACAGACAGCAAACCTCCAGAAATCCCTTCCTGCTGTACTCTCCTTCACCAAAGCACATCTCATCTTGCTCTTGCTGATTCAGTTTCACAACATACTTCTAAAAGCTGAGTATGCATTAAAATCAGAGCTGATTTTCAATAATCTGAACAACTATGATTGAAAATAGCAGCACACACACACAAAAAAAAAAAAAAAAAAAAAAAAAAAAAAAAAAAAAAAAAAAAAAAAAAAAAAAGAGTAAAAAAATGCAATTCTTGGAATTGCCAAACAGGTCACATCCAGCAGCTCAACTGGATACACTTGAACCCAATATCACTGCCCATAGATTTAGACAAAAATCCCTTTTATATAGCTTGTTTTCCTTCAAAGAAGATGCAATTGTAAAAACTCATTGCTCTGCATCATTTCCTTCACATTTAGCCTTCCTCTAGAAAAGAGAGTTCATCACAGTTTTTTTGAGGTTTAATCTGATTTCACTTTAAGGTTGTCCATCATTACTTGAATATGCTATTTCTTAAACAGGATAGAGCAACAAAAGGCACAAAAACTGAACAGACAATGAGGGCACACACTCCTTACACTAGTGGCCTTTGGGGAAAATAATTTCTTGGAAGTATTCTTTAACTAGAGAACTTGCCACCTGCTACATTCTTTAGGGACATTTTCCATTTTTGTAGAGCTAATTAAGTGCACATTAAAATACAGAATTACTGAAAATCTGTTCCCTGTTTTCTAAGAAATTTTTATAGGATCAAACTCCACTTCCACTTGAATAAATTAAGATTCACACAGCCCATTATGTTCCCTGTTCTATCTTTACTGCTTTACATAGTATTTTCAAAGCAGAGACCTAAGAGTCTGCCTGTTTTACTGTATCCAAAATCCATAGCTGAAAAAAAGTTGCTCATATCAAATCATGCCAGAATATCCAGTCTTTCTTGAGGAGCTCATTTAAATGGTTTCCCAGACTAGCTTTCTTAAAAGAAAGCCCCCAGGATTTATAGTGCATCTGGCATTGTACGTGGTAATGAAGAGGAAGGTAAGATTTTCAAAGTTATTACTGCTTTTTTTTATTATTACTGGTTTTTTTTTTCTAAATAAACACATACAATAGCTGGTAATGCACAAAAAATTTTTTAAGGCCGACAACTAGAGGTTCTTTAAAAAAACAACATTATTTAGTATTTGAATTACGAGTGTAAGAGAGGACAGGAGTGTCATCTTACCAACATAAAGGAATCAGTTAAATATATGGTTCTTATTATAAAAAAGTCTCTCTAAAAATGTGAATCTCACTCTTCAGATATATCATCTTTTAATCCAATTTTAAATCTTGCTTTAATAGTTCTGTCTCAGTGATGGAGAATGATGGCTTAGAGGAGCCTGACCCCATCCCATCAGAGGCACCTGACTGCATTTCAGATGAAGCAGGCTGACAGATTTAAGCATGAGGGCACAAAGATAACTCGTGCTTGAATTACCTGGTGCCCGTAAGCCCTGAAGAAACCTCGATCTGAGAAAACGATCAATGTCACTCAAGTCAAGAATTTCCCCTATTGGTAAAAGGCTCCCCTTTCCTTTCCGATCAAACTGAAATTCATCATCCTTTGGAGTTTACCTGACATGCCGAAGCAAACCCATTTTCACAGAAGACAATGCTGCAGGGGAGTCTAAACTGACTGTACCTACGTGGCACAGAGGGAAGACTCCGGACATGACCCGTGAGCCTCCTGTAATGGTTTAATCCAATTCCCAGTGTGCCAGCTGGAATTACACCACCCCTCAAGTAGTTCTGTAGGAAATTCTATGGCCATTACTTTATACGATCTTAAAAGCCAACCTATTTGTACACATCCGGACACAGTTACACCTTTCAGCACAGATTCCAGTAGCACACCAGAAAGCAAACAACAAATCATTTTTCCTGCTCCTCCTCTTTCTTGCTGAGTCAGCAAGATTTTCATGAAAACATGTCTATGGCTTCTCTATGAAATTCACGCCTTAAATTGAAGAAAAGTATTTTTCTCAAACAGTTTTGTTTTGCTTCTCCTCCGGAACAGCCTACCCACTCAAAGAGTTTTATGAAGGGGTTCTTAATTTGAAAAATCTCTTCATTAAACCGCCCTCCCATCTGGTAATTATAAATGCAAGATAATGACTTTCGGAGTAGCCCCTTCATCTCTCTCAGCCCCAAGGCAAACCTTTCATTTCCTCATTCTTCCCTCTTCATCTTTGTCCCCCGACCACCATCAGTAACAGTCAGCTCCTTTGTGCAGCCCCCAAAGGAGGAAGGGCCAGAGCAGCAGAGCCGGTGCAGATAGCCCTCTTCCACACTAAGCCATGTAAAACTAATGAGCTAGGATGCCAAACGAGATTTCCAGCTTTAAAACTGAATTTTAAATATTGTTGCTGATTAGTGACAATGCCTGCAAGCTCTGTGCTAGGTGTGCCTAGGCACAACAGCTGCAGATTGAGCTCCTCAGGTCCTTGTGCTATTTTTAGCCACACAGGGCTGATGATAGGAATTCATAGAAGTGTTCATAAACTAAGATTTAAAACCTCACCAATTCAAAATGCCTTCAGGAAGAGTTCATTTTTATTTCATTTGACTACAATGTCATCAAAAGGAGGGTCCAGGAAAAGTGAGCGATTAAACTTCTGGAGTTATGTATGAATTTTACTTGTAAAAGCTTTACAGCCTACAGTCAAATTACATCTCCCATTTCCTCCTCTAGTCAGAGAAGACAATTTCCTCTCATGACCCCTGGTACATAAAACAGAACCCCAAGTTGAGATGCTTTTTCTTTTAAAAGAATCATGCTTTATACAAGTTCCACTTCTGCAGCATTACTAACATCAGTAAATTTTTAGGACTGTATGGCCTATTCCCCAATATGCATAGAACAGCACCATTATGTACCCAATAGGCCCAAACAGTCTAGGGTAGAATCCCAGGCATCTTCAGAGTTAAGGAAG